TACAAAAGAACGTATGAGACAGCCTTTTTTTAAAATGGAAAAACAAATCTTGACTTTTTATAAACTGTTACTTAGAGTGTTTTATATATCCATAATCAATGTTTATATGCAACTTTCCTCTCTAGTCTCCTGGCCCATACCCTGAATCTTATGTCACCAGACCTCCCTACATACATCCTAAATAACTGTATTAAAATCACACTAAGAGCCCGGCCAGGCATGGTTCAGCAGTTGAGCATCGACCTAGGATCCAGGAGATTGCGGTTCGATTCCCAGTCAGGGCACATGCCCGGGTTGCAGGCTCGATCCCCCGTCGGGGGCATGTGGGAGGCAGCCAATCAATAACTCTCTCATCAATGATGTTTCTCTCTCTCTCCCTCTCCCTCTCTCCCTTCCTCTCTCTGAAGTCAATAAAGATATATATATTTTTTTAATCACACTAAGAGATTATAGGCCTTTCAAGTACTTTGGAGACACAAAATTGATAATATTCATTCTTAAGCAAGTATCAAAAACATATACAATAAAATTTCACAGTATGTAAAATTTTACTCTGATCTTTTAATAAAGTTTAGGGTAAGATAAAGATATTCCTGCTTCCCTGCAATAAAGTAGGAGAAAATACATAGAGAAAAGGGAGCCTCGAAATGAAAAACTAAAATATGTCACAAAAACTCTGACAACGACCTCCAGAAGTCCCATGAGCACAACCATTATAAACGTCCTTGGAACCACAGGAAGAGTTCATAAATCCCTACTCTAAATGCATCTCTTCCTTTTCTGGTCATAATTTTAAGAACTGGGCGAACAGTCTTGTCAAAAACTAAATGCTTCAGTGTGGTTTCTTCATGAACACACAAAAAAACCCAAAAACCCACAGGCAAGTGAAATGAATCTCTTTATTCATGCTCCTGCATGTCCACATTTCCCTACCTTTAAAAAAAAAAAAAAAAGGAAGAATGAAAGGAAACAAAGAGGTAAGAGAAAAAAAAATTGTCTCAAATCATCAAAGTCAAATAAGGAAACCTATGCTTTACAGCTATGCAGGACTCAGATTAAGAGACACAAGGTCTAATAGTTCCATGGTAGGAAGACACCCAGAGAAGCATCAGTCTTATACACAGGATTAAGATGCACACAAACTAATTCTATCAGAGCATTTTATCAGACTGTGTGACTGTACTTGGAAGCTTATCAGCCTTTTCATTAGTTCCGGGGGGG